GCCGAGGGAAGCACGAAGCTGCCGGGGAGAGGGGATCTGCCCGCCAGCTGCGGAGCGCTCGGCCGCCGAGCCCTGAGCTGCCGCAGGAGGCGGCCGCGGCGATATTGGGGCCGCGCTGAGCGTGGGGCACGATGACTGAGGAGCCGGCCCCTTCGCTCCTCCGGCCGCGCCCGCTGCCCCCCCCCAATGGCTCCTCCAGAGTCTGGCCGTGCTGCCCGCCTCCCCCTTGCCTGCAGAAGCCCAGCGCCGGCCTGGCAGGCGCCGCTTTTGAAAAAAATGCTGGGCTGCCCGGGCTGAAGGAAGCAGGAAGCTGCCAGGGAGAGGGGATCTCGCCAGCTGCTGTCTGCCCCACTGCTCCGCTCCCCCCAGCCCCCCGGGAGAAGCGAGCAGCGCCCGCCCGCCACCCCTTCCACGTGCCCAACCCCCCTCCGTGGACCGAGCCCCTCCGAGGGGGGGCGCAGCATGGCCGCAGCATGGCCGGAGGAACCAAGGGGGAGGGGGGGCACGGCGCGGCTGGAGGAGCCAGCCATGGGTGGGGGGCGCGGAGCGGCTGGAGGAGGAGCCAAGGGGTTGCCTTTTTTATGTTTGCTCCCCCTGCACTTAGAACCTGGCTACGCCACTGATCCCTGTATAGGGATCTGCTCCCCCATCCACCCAACCCCCATGCATCCAGACACCCTAATCCCCAGACCCTCGCACCGAGCCTCACCCCCCTGCACTCAGAACCCCCCATGATGAGCCTCACTTCCCCTACACCTGGACCACCCTGAAGAGCCACCCACACCCGGATCCCCACCTCACCGAGCCCCAACCAGCTCTACCTGGATCCCCACCCCACCTGAGCCCCCCCACCACCTAGACCCCCCTCGCCGAGCTCTATCCCCCCCCACCATCTAGACACACACACACACACACCCTGCTGAGCCCCAGCCACCTTCACCTGGACTACCTTCACCTGCAGAATCCCATTGCTGTTGCACCCAGAACCCCCCAACAAGGCCCTGTGCATTCAGATCCCCTCCACACCCAGAACCTCCACTGAGCCGCCTGCACCCAGATTGCTCCACACAGAACCCTCTCAACCCACAGCTGGCTCCCCCGACACTAAGCCCCTCCACACTTGGACCTTACCTTGCTGAGCCTGCCTGCCCACACCTGGTGCACCTGGGAAGGAGGGGCAGGGCCCTGGGGTGTTTCTGGGGCAGGCCTGGTCCTTTCATTGTGTGTCAGTTCTGTGCAGCCTCACTGCTGAGTCTGTGTCCCAGGGGGGCTGCACAGTGATCTCCTACCTCTGTGTAGCCAGTGGCCTGTGCTCCCCAGTGCTATTCTGGAGCCTCCACATTTATTTGACAAATAAAATTTGAAGAATTTTAAAATATTGTGTGCAGACATTGATTTGTACAAATTAGAATGTTCTAATTTTTTCCTTAAGTAAATTACCTGACCTTCATCTCAATGATTTCTTGTCTGAAAATTTCCTAAACTGGGAATAAATGTATCAAGGAAAATTAAGGGACCCTGCAATGCACAATTATTTATATTAGATAAATTAGATAGCAGTTAGTCCTATGCGCTTCTTAGGCCTGGTCTACACTACGACTTTAATTTGGATTTATCAGCGTTAATTCGAATTTACCCTGCAACCGTCCACACAACGACGCTATTTATTTCGAAATAAAGGGCCCTTTAAATCGATTTCTGTACTCCACCCCGACGAGCGGAGTAGCGCCAAAATCGATTTTAACATTTCGAATTAGGGATAGTGTGGCCGCAATTCGATGGTATTGGCCTCCGGGAGCTATCCCACAATCTAAACTCGGATGCACTGGCCAGGTAGACAGGAAAAGCCCCGCGAACATTTGAATTTCATTTCCTGTTTGCCCAGCGTGGAGAGCACAGGTGACCACAGATAGCTCATCAGCACAGGTAACCATGCAAGCCGATAATCGAAAAAGAGCACCAGCATGGACCGTACGGGAGGTACTGGATCTGATCGCTATATGGGGAGAGGATTCAGTGCTTGCAAAACTTCGTTCTAAAAGACGAAATGCCAAAACTTTTGAAAAAATCTCCAAGGGCATGATGGAGAGAGGCCACAATAGGGACTCAGATCAGTGCCGCGTGAAAGTCAAGGAGCTCAGACAAGCCTATCAAAAAACAAAGGAGGCAAACAGTCGCTCTGGGTCAGAGCCGCGGACATGCCGCTTCTACGCCGAGCTGCATGCAATTCTAGGGGGGGCCGCCACCACTACCCCACCTGTGATCATGGATTCCGGGTCGGGGATAGTCTCATCAGCTACACCTGAGGATTCTGCCGATGGGGGAGGAGGAGGAGGAGGAGGAGGA